CGTAACCTCACCCCCAAAGAGGAGGTCCTGTACAACAATACAAAGGAGAAAGGCAGACAAGGGCCAGGAGAGAATGTGGAGGTGGGAGAGAACCCTGAATGGTGGAGACATTCCTTGACCGTTCTGTAGGCAATAACCCAGGCCAGTGTAATCTAGGATGTTTCTGAAATTCTGCTTTTACCAGAGAGAGCTGTGTCACATATTTGGTGCTCGGTGACTAGTAGGCTACGTGGCCTTCACACACTCTGAAGCTTTGAATGAAGCTGAGCCTTTATAAATGTTTAGAGTCAAAGGAATTAAAAACCTGATGTAACCTACAAGATCATCCCCAATCCCCTCACATGACGGACTTCTCCTCTCTCTCCCCATTGACGTCTTTCAAAAAAACAGAAACAAAACAAAACAAATGAAGTTGCCTAAGACCTACTTCTTAAGCCCTGAGCCTAGAATTCAGGCTTTCTATTCCCAGTGCTATGTTATTCCACGGCCTCATGATTACCATTTGACATCTTCCTTTATAGGGCCACATTGTGAACAGCCATTTCTTGGCATTTCAGTAACTAAATCCACTTGGATGAGCTCCCCAGGTTGCCTTGCATTATACTTTATTTTGCTCTATAAAGAATATGGTTTTTTTTGGCTTAGAGATTAATAATTTTGGGTGAAAACCAGAGAATTCTGATGCTTTTCTTCCCCTAATGAAATAATCTAGATGTGTGCTGATTTAGGAAATTTAAAAGGCTGTTTGGCTGCCAGGGTTCGCATGCAAAAAGCTTTATTTTCTATACCTTATTTTGTAATGAAACACCTGTGCCCATTTTCAAAATAAATGAACATGGATAACATTTCTTTTGCTCTCTCTCCTTTTCTGTCTCCTTTCCTGTCAATCCCTCCCTTACTTCCCTTCCATTCCAAATCAGGATATTGGCCCTCCTACAATATTCCTTTCCATGAAAAGATCTACAACTGGAGTGGCTATCCACTGTTAGTTCAGAAGCTGGGCTTGGACTACTCTTATGATTTAGCTCCACGAGCCAAAATCTTCCGGCGTGACCAAGGGAAAGTGACTGATATGGCATCCATGAAATATATCATGCGATACAACAGTACGTAGCATATTTCTCAAGAATCATTCTTCAAAACTCCTTTTCTTCCCTATGGATAAAGAATCCATGTAAGTTTATCATCTCTGTACTAGAAGAAATTACAAGAAGTTATTTAAGTATTTAACTAATATTATACATTTTATACTCAATAAATAGAGCTTTGGCCTCCTTTATAAAATGAAAGAGAAGAGTCTATACATTTTTTAATTGAAAAAAGTCATCTGTAAGACACAGAAGAAATAACTCATACAGGGTCATTTAAAATTCTTCTCCAAACACAAGTTTCCTTCCGAGGATAACAGCAGCTAATAAAACAAAAATTGTTCATAAATACCTCATTTTTTTAATGAACAGCATCAAAGTCAAATTTGTATTTCTTTTTTTATGAACAGCATCAAAGTCAAACAACTGATGCACATTTATCTGGTTCTCTCTCCCATCCATTTTTCACTGTGTAAGGTTCTTAAGAGCAGGCTGGGCCTGGGGCCAAGGACTTACTCCTTCCTCACAAGCCAAGGCAGATGTCTCTATCTGGAAGCAGGCTGGGCTGAGGAGGCCTGTGGGGGTACACTCTCTGATTATCTAGGCGTTAACAGGCCCCAAAACCTTACTGTGGAGAAGTGTGTCTCCGAATAGCCAATACTCACTCTCTTCCCCATCTCTCTCTGTTTCCTAGATTATAAGAAGGATCCTTACAGTAAGGGTGACCCCTGTAATACCATCTGCTGCCGTGAGGACCTGAACTCACCTAACCCAAGTCCCGGAGGTTGTTATGACACGAAGGTAACATGCTATTGGCTTTTGAATGTAATTCCCACCAGCACACAGGCCTCTCCAAAGGCAAAGTTGCACAGGCAGGAAGCACAGTAATGGCTCTAACCATAAACTCAACCCAGGAATCAGCTCTTTCAGAGATTCTGGTGGTAGGTCCTGTTATCTAACTTCAAGTCGCTGCTCTGCCATTTAGTAGTAAATCACATAATTCCGTCATGTCTGTTTCTTCATCTGTAAAATGGATATAACAGTACTTAACCTCATACGGTGTTCTGAAGAATAAGCCTCTCATCTCTGTAAAATGTTTAGAACAGTGTTGAGTTATTTGTAAATGTGTACAGCCATAATGACGATATTGTTGTCTTAAGTTTTACCAGACTGGCCCAAAGTCCAAAGAACATATTATTCAAGCAGTGTGATTCCATATTAAACATGAATCGAATTTAGCCAAAGGAGCAAGTTTGGACAAGATGCCTAAAGCACAGAGGTTTTTCAGTGTTAGAATTGATAAATGCTGTAATGTGTCTCAAAATATAAGTAATAAGTAGGTTTGCAGTGGTGTGCTAAAGCCAGCTCATAGACAGGCAGGAACCAATTGCTAGTTGACATCATGTTGATAGTTTGAAACCAGTCAAGTGAAAGTATTTACATTATGGAAATCAGGAACTTTTTTCCTCAGAAAGATGGTTGTTAAAAATTTACCTGCTCACCACTGGATTTGGGATGTCTGAGGGTATGAGGCATTTGGTTGGCAGAATCATGCTACTACATCCTTTTGTAGTCTTGGCTTGGGTGTATATCTTTTCATTTCATCATCTGTCCTAAATTCTGGAAGAAACCTGTCAGGGTAAACTGTGTATTCTGTCTTTGGCTCAAAAAATTATAGGAATGCTGACCCCAGTTATACATTATTCTCTATCAGCCTAATACCTAAACAGGAAATGCTTTAAAGTATCTTGAGTTCCAGCTCAACCTTCTTTTTAGCTGTGTGATGAAGGCAAAGCTTTTAACTGTAATGATTCTCAATGTTAACATAAAAAAAAAAAAAAAAAAAAGGTAGCTGTAGAGAAGCTGGCACAGATGAAACCCCTATGAATGCTTTTTGTATTCCTTTTTAAAAATGGTATTTGCAGACATTCAGTCAAATGTGTGAAGTTTGTATCTATCACAGAATACACCAAGAAAATCACCTGTGCTGCCTTGCCTGGGAGAACTCAAGCCAAGCTTCCCTCTACCAAATCTCACTTCTGGAGACAGAGGCCTACAATTGTTTTTATCAAAAAGTTTCTGTTGAAGGATATTCTTTAAAAATATAATTTCTCTCTTTATGGGGAAAATCAGAAGAGATTCTCTTTCCCCTCTAAGATTAGGATCCACTGCTAGTCAGTGGTTAGGTGTTTTTGAGAACCATGGCCCTCAATTTTTGACAGTGAGCTCCATCTACTTTAAGACTCTTGTTACCACCCTGATTAGTAACAACTTTTTCTGAGGACTTCATCTGTTCTAGGCATTGCTTTGAGCATTGCTTGCATTAATCCTCATGCCAACTCTATGAAGTAGGGTTATCAGCCCTTTTTCCAAAGGCGAACACTGACTCATAGAGGGGTTAAGTGATCTTTAAATGAGCTTTGGAGCTAGAATTCTGAATGAGTAATCTGACTTCATAGCTTGCTTTTGGCTACATTGTTCATTTCACACACTTTTAGTTGATAGACATTTGATGCCAAATGTATACAGAAGACTATATCATATAAAGACAGTGTGAAAAATGGCAAGAAAATTTTGTTTTAAAGAAGGCAGCCTGGCGCAGTGGCTTATGCCTGTAATCCCAGCACTTTGGGAGGCTGAGGTAGGTGAATCACCTGAGATCAGGAGTTCGAGACCAGCTTGACCAACAAGGCAAAACCCATCTCTGCTGAACCTGGGAGGCAGAGGTTGCAGTGAGCTAACATTGTGCCACTGTACTCCTGCCTGGGCAACAAAAGCGAAACTCCGTCTCAAAAAAAAAAAAAAAAAAGCTAATATTATGACTTTGGTAGTTGGGGGAGTGGGAAAGGCCATGGATTTAATTTTTTGCCAAATGATTTTTCTAAAATGTCCTCCTCCTCTCTCTTTCCAGGTGGCAGATATCTACCTAGCATCTCAGTACACATCCTATGCCATAAGTGGCCCCACAGTACAAGGTGGCCTCCCTGTTTTTCACTGGAACCGTTTCAACAAAACTCTACATCAGGGCATGCCAGAGGTCTACAACTTTGATTTTATTACCATGAAACCAATTTTGAAACGTGACATAAAATGAAGGAGGGAGATGACAGACTAGAAGGCTGTAAATAAGAAACCAAAGGCACTATTTTAGCTATGTTTTTCCCATCAGAATTATGCAATAAAATATATTAAATTCGTTTGTCACTTTCGTTTTCCACTGACTTTGTGGTTTTTACAGCAAGCACTCGCTATAAGGTATAGCACTGTAGAAGAAATGTTATATATATAAATAACACTGAGCTTCAGTATACATGCTAATACACAAGAGGGTGTGGCAGAAACTGCTCCTTCATTCAGCAGAATTCATATTCTCCTTTCATGCCTGCTCACACAGACCACATCTCCCAGTGTCCCTCAGAGAGTTGTGCCACATGACAATTCTAGCCACTGGAACCTGAGACGAATGCCCGGCCCATACGAATCTGTACTCCTATGCTCTTTCCCGTTTCCCTGGATGAATATGCCTAATGACAAAACCCTAGGGGACGCTGGAGCTTCGTTTTCAAAGGAACCTCTAGTAGTAGTTAGTGATTTAGTTACTGATTTTTCCGGTCATTAACAGGCATCAGTTGAGTCCTTTTGTGGTGTAGGTTAGGCATACAACATAGTAAACCTTACTGTTGCCTCCTATAAGCCAAAAGCACCTATACAAGCTGGCAGCAACCCTGCATAGCAACTTTCTTTCAAAATTGGAGAGTTACATGTGATCTGAGTGCCATGGAATTGCGAAGTAGGTTAAATAAGTCATACCATACAGTATGTAATGGGTGACTCTAAACAAGGTGGAAGATTCTTAAAAAAGAAAGAAAAAAGCCACAAGGGTGAATAACCAGAATTAAACAGAGTACTCAGAATGTTAAAAACCCAGTAGTTTTATTTCAAAGTATAAATTTCAGGCTTGCTGGACAAAACCCCACTACAGTTAACACTTATACAGACACCACTCTACTATACATTTAAAAAAGAAAAACACACACACGCGCGCGCACACACACACACACACACACATACAAACCTTCAAAACTCTAATAAAAATAGGGCCACTTGCTACAGCCCAGTTTGTATTAGACATTAGGAAGGTCTTACTTACATTGTCTTATTATTTACACTTTCAACTGCAATAAAGAAAAATTAGGATGCAAGTTACTTACAAAGGATTTTTATATTTAATTTTGAAATGGCTGATAAAATACTAAAGCCAGAATCCCCAAAAGGTGTTTGATTGCCCAGTTACCTTATTTACAAAAACAAAACAAAGAAACAGACAAAAACAAAAACCTCAAAAAAATGATAAAGACAGCATTTAAATATGGGTACTTAGCTGACTCTACAAATAAAAAACAAAAGTTTATTTTAACATGGTAAATTATTTGAAAATGAGAAAACAAAACATGTGTTTACATTATCCTATTCCTCCCCATTGGCTGGCTCAAGGGGATGAATGAGTTTCAGGAATTAGACAAGTCTGCCACGCTAACAAACGCTTCATGAGAATTGCTGATTTGTGTGTGTGTCCCAAAAGTTAAAAAAAAAAAAAAAAAAAAAATAGGGCATTTGCCCAGTAAAAATAATAAGGAAGGTAGAATCACATATTGGTTTTAGACAGTTATTTGATATTGCAAATACTACGACTTGATTTTTCTGGAAATTAGGATAAAACAGGCCAACCACAGGTCAGTGATAAAACAACAAAATCATAGGATGTTGAGGATACTGAATTGGCCCAAGAAGTAAAGTCAAGGAGAACATTTGGAAGGAAGGTCTTTGCAGTACCTTACTGTGCTAAGATCACAGTGTAAAAAAGTGAGAGATGAGGATACCACAGGCATTACTTTGTTAACCTTGTACAGTACTGGAAAGTTCATGAAACAAGATAAATGAATACCATGCAGTATTAACCCTGACCTTGTTGCATAAATGGTAATTTGGAGAATATTTAAAGCAAAAGAACAAACAACAAAGTTAACACTTACCCAATGCAGTAAGAGAACTGTAAGACGCAGCCTACTTAAGGAGGTCTGCAGATAGATGCACCTAAGATTTAAGCTGTTTTAGGTCACTTTTTCAAAGTATTTATTATCTGGCAATGGGGATGGGAGTGGGGAACACCTCTCTGTGAGGCAAATGATATCTCAACGAATACCGACTTTTCAAGGAAGAAAGCTCTCCACTTCTCTCATAAATGTATATACTATGTTAAACAGTATGCAGTATTCTGCATATTTTTAAAAAATGAATCCAGAGAAATACAAGGATATAGTTACCTCATAAAATTAACTGTTAACAACAGATGTCTTTGTATGTAATTTATAAATTTCTTAGCAAGAACAGGATTTTTAGAAGAGGCTTACTCACACTTAAGACAGTGAAAATTACTCTCACAGAATGCAAAGTATAGAATAATAAACATCACCGTTATCTTTAAATGCCATACAAACATCCTACATTGCAGGTTGCAGTATCAGGTTTCCAGAATTTCCAATAAGGCAATACCTACACAAATATTGCCAGGCTAAAAATGTTGTAAAACTTGCATTCCCAAAATGGGAGAATCTAGCTTATTTGTAGTACTTTGTGAAAAGATACTATGAAACTAAAAAGTTAACTGCGGAGTGGAAACTGCTACTAGAAAGTCTGTTATCAGTAGCTACTTACTACTCAAGTCCTCCATTCTCTCTCCCAGAAGCAGCAAACCAAACAAAAAGCATCTATCAATATTAAAACCTGCCTCAATAAAAACCTAGTGTTCTAACCTAGCACCTCTAGTAAATCTAATATAGCTGCTGCCCCTACGTGCCATGGTAGGCTAATTTGAGTACACCATCTTATAATATACTTTTCCCCTAAATAATTGTGATCTCTCCCTGTACCTTCCTTCCAACTGGAATAAAACATTTTAAGTAATTATTTTACTTTAGTAAATCTGTTTTTAGAATTGCTATTTGAGAATTTGTTTTCCTTTGACAGAAAACAATATAGGCTAGGATAATGAATTTTTTTAAGAAAATTCTACTGGGCTTTCTTCATCTGATTAAATAATGCTATGAAAGCTTTTTTTAAAAAAAATTAGCAAATATAAATAAAAATGTTCATCAAGAGAACCTTTTGTAGGTTATGTAAAAAAACTAACCACGTGACCATAAAAACACCCAATAAAGAACAATTTGAACAAGGGCCTTCAATTTTGTAGACAGGAATAATCTTGAACACATAATCAACACTGCAACCACTGCAGGTCAAAACATACACATGCAGATATAGACAGGTGTTCATATACATCTAGAAGATCACCGACTCCTTCCTTTTAAAATTTTCATTGCCATAACAATGGCAACTTCTTTAGCATCATCATTAGTCCTAGAATGAGTAATATCTACATAGTTGGTTGGCAAATTTGATTTATAGCATACTCCTTTGTGGTCTCATTTTCTGAGAGTGAAAGGAGGTTTGGAGCATTAATTTTTTGGCAATCTATAGGCTTTCTTCATCATGAATCAAATCTTACACCTCAGATGATAGTATACTGACCAGTCAAAAGTCTCTAAAGAGTTTTCTTTACAACTAGAAAATTTCCTATTATAAGCCATCAAAGTTGCAAACAAACAACATTAATAAAAGAGAGAGCTCCCTCCTGCAATTCTAGGAAAAATGAATGACTATTTTGAGAAGGTAGAAAAATGGAATTCAAATATTGCAAAGGAAGAGGACTTGTAAGTTATTTCACAAACTTCATAAATTCCTTTCAAAATATTCTCAAGCACATTCTCACTCCTAAAACTTAACCCAGCCCTCCAGTCCTAAACTATCTACACTCAAAACACCTACCTGACACCAGTACAGCTGGCCCTCATATTAAAAATCCATGACCTAAGCTGAATTTTAATAACTTCGAAGAGGAACAGAGAGATACACAGGAGGTTATATCTAATTGTTACATAAAATGACCTCAAAGAATATAAATTCTTTTTTTTTGAGACAGAGTTTCGCTCTTGTCTCCCAAGCTGAAGTGCAACGGTGCAATTTCAGCTCATTGCAACCTCCGCCTCCCGGGTTCAAGCGATTCTCCTTGCCTCCTGAGCAGCTGGGGTTACAGGCATGCACCAACATGCCCGGCTAATTTTGGGATATACTTTAAATTCTATCCAAAGCTAACAATGGGTACATCAGACTCAACTTGGCACCATCAAAACAAAGTTAAAAGGTTAAAACAGGAAGGACGATGTGAGAATAAAGAGGAAATGAAACTTTCTCCTTGATATTTTAGCTCATTCTATATTGTGAATCTTTCTATTTGCTTCCTTTGAAAGAATACTAACGAATTAGTATTGGGTGATAGCTTTGGGTAATAAACTGAACTAGAATCATTTTCATAATCTCTAACACAGTGTGCAACACGGATACTAAAACGTGAAAAATTTTCTTCCACAATATGGTTTTCTCTTGGTCCACTTTACACAAAGTTAAATAGTGACCAAAAATAAAAGCATCTACAGTTTTAGAAGAAAATAGCACGTCAAATTTTTGGAGTTAAATGTGATGCCATCACCATGCCCGGCTACGATGAGACTGTGCATGCGCATCTGTGCGTGTGTGTACAAATACCTCCATGTACACACAGACACCTTGGTTTAAAAATCACTTGAGTAGGCTGGGCACGGTGGCTCACAACAGTAATTCCAGCACTTTGGGAGGCCAAGGCAGGTGGATCACCTCAGGTCAGGAGTTTGAGACCAGCCTGGCCAACATGGTGAAACCCCATCTCTACTAAAAATACAAAAATTAGCCGGGCATGGTGACAGGCGCCTGTAACCCCAGCTACTCTCGGGCTGAGACAGGAGAATTGCCTGAACCCAGGAGGTGGAGGTTGCAGTGAGCTGAGACTGTGCCACTGCACTCTAGCCTGGGCAACAAGAGCGAAACTCCATCTAAAAAAAAAATAAAATAAAAATATTACTTGAGGAGGTGTGCAAGAAATCAAGGGTAAAAAGGCTGCAAGGGAAGAGTAAGCAACCATGGACATATGGCCATGTTTATTTATTTTTGGCCATGTTTATTTTTATAGTTAATCTTTAAGGCACAAAATAAATGTAAAAGCCAGATCAGGAAAGGGAGGGGGCCATTGCAGATCTTTTTTAACCTAATTAACAACTTAGGAGACCAGACAAAAGAAACAACAAATAGATCCTTTCCTGTGTTCGAATCAACCTATTTTAAACTATTTAGCCATTTTGTTTTTAATTCATTTCTTTGGGTTTTGTTTTGATTCTGTTTAAACCATTTAATTAAAATGATCCTACAGATCCTTTAAAAGCAGAATCATGCCAGTTACACATCTCAGATCCTTTGATCTACTACTTCGTACTTTAAGAGGTAAATTTGAGAATAAAAATGGGAGACTCCAATGCAGTAACACATACATAGGGAAAAACACACATAAACACCCACACATATTCCCCAGCCTCAAAACTAAAGCAAGGTACACATTTACATTTCCAACCCCCAAAGCCTAAACTGTCCAGGAAAAGATTCTAGCTTTGTGGGCTGAGTTTATTTTGCTTCTGGTTATAAACAAATGTAGTGTATACACACATCTGTCCAAGGAATCTTGCACAAGGTGGATTTTACATGGGGTATCATGCACAAGATTAAAAACAAGACCAAAAGGTGGAAATTTTAAAAGAGGAAAATATAAAGGCTCCAAGGTTTAACTGCTCTGGGTAGAAGAGATCACATCTGTTGACTGAGGATCACAGAAAGGCCCAAAACGTCCATAAATATCCTTGGCTCGTACTGCAAAGTAGTATTTGCTACCAGATACAAACTGGGTGAGAGTACATGCCATGGGCAAGGGAAGTGCCTTGACTTCCCCTATCTTTTTCCATTGTGAGGGCACAGTGGCACTAGGTTCCTCATGGTAAGCATAGAGATGGTAGCTATCAACAGTGGCACAGCTTCGATCCACCTCCAGGACACTCCATGACAGCACTATGCCATTTTGACTCTGAACTCGTGCTAACTTCAAGTGTGGCTTCTGAGGCAGAGATGTGCTGGCAGCTTCTGGGGGCACACGCTGTGGTTGCGGAGCTTCTGGTAAGGGTGCTGGGTGCACAGGGCGTGGCGGCTCCTAAAAAAACAAGTCACACTGATTTATAACGATCGCAAAAAGAACATTTTAGAATGTTAGAATTAAAACACCTTAGAGAACATACATAGAGATATCATTTTACATCAAGAATTCTAGGAAATACCAAATACCATATCAAATTTGGCAAGTTCTATTTGGGGTTTTGTAATGAATGATGCCACAAACAATGATGCTGAGGTTATTCCTGCTCTACTTCCTAGACCTAAAATATTTTGAGTTGTTCTTAGGAAATAAAAAGCCCCTGCTGATGGAACATCATTTTGAGGAACACGGAAATAATGATCTACTTCTAACAAGATAATTTATGATTGAATTATCTATGTTACAGATTACCACTTCAGTATGATATAACATTTTTAAATATCATGTATGGCAATCAAGATCATATAAAATTGGAGAATACAACTATACTTTCATTTTTAAGTTATTTTGCAATATAAGACAACAGCATATTCTTATAAATAAGCGTATTAACACTGAATGTGTACTATATTCTTGGCCAATTTACCAAAAAAAGGTGATATTTAAACTGAACTGTGAAAGATAGGATCTAGAGATGCAGAAATAATCGTGTACCTTTCAGCCAAAAATAAAGCACGAGCAAAGGCATGTGGACAGGAAAGTGAGGGGACATATGGACAACAAGTATTAACTTTTTCTTGGATATAGGGTACATAAAGAAAAATCTGGAAAGGTAGGTTAAGGCCAGATGATGAAGAAAACGTGACTCTAACTTTAGGAAGTCCTATTGACTTTTCTAACCCTGGAACATCATCGTCATTATGATGATATTTCATACCAGTCAAACACTGACAAAATTGTGTCACAGGATAATGTGACATTGTTTTGGAGGCTAAATCTAAGGAGAAATCTTTGGTTACCTCTGCTGCCTCTTAACTAACGAATTCCCAGTATCATTGGATTCTTTAAAACAATTGATGACAATGTAGCAGTTAGATGTGGCATAGTTTAAAACAAAAGAATAAAATTAACACATGGAAAAATGTCCTTTTTAATTTAACTATGAATTAGAAATGGTCTATATTTCGCTTCATATACCCCAACTGTGGACCTGTTTTTGTATACTGTACACCACAAGCAAACTCAATGATTCTAAATGATCATCATCCCTATGAACATTTGTTCATAATGGTTTAAGATCAATTTTTAGAAATAAACTTCCGAAAAAGCAGAAAGACCTAACACTTCCCTTGGATATAACCACTTTAAAGAAAAATGCCAACTACAATAATATTTTACACCTTTACAGTTGAGAATTTTACAAAACCAAGCATCAACACTTACAGTATGCACTTGTGGTGGTCGGTGATGCACTGTGAGCTGAGGTCCTGTGGATCCCAGGGTTAGTCCATTGTTTACAACATACGTGGTTGTTTGAGGCACTCGAACTGTAACACCTACAAAAAAAAAAAAAATTACAAGATAAAATAATTCTATTATAAATTTGGTGAAAAACGGATTGTATTTGAAGTCAGTGAAGCAATGTTTTCAAGATTTGAAAGGAAAGATATTTCTAACTTAGAGGTCCTATTCGTATTCAGCCAAGCTATCAACCAGCCTGTGGATAAAAAAACTTTCTTATGTGCAAGCACTAAAAAAAAATTCTAACTACCACAAACCTTCTCTCAAATAGTCACTGGAAAATATGTGCCACCAATATGTGAGAAAATAGAGAGAAAAATATGAGACACAAGCAACAGGAGGTCCAGCACAGGGAGAAATAAAAGGATCCTTACCAGCAGAACTATGAACAAAAATCCTAGAACACTGGTTGTGTACCGCATGTAAAAGGTAAATGGCCATAATGGAGCAGTGCGACTCAAAAGACAGACAAATTGGGAGTATCTTCATAAAAATCTCTGCAGTCTCATCTTTTCAACCAGGACAGAAAGCCAGAATAAGTCATCCTTGCCATGTATTAAAGAGGTTCCTCTCATTTTCTCCATGCCCAGCTCCTTGGTTGAAGATACTCATTTCACCCCACAGAAAACTGCTGTGACATACACCAAGGAAACAAAAATAGAAAATTCAGAGCCACCTACTGCCCTGACCATACTCCTGCCATTTATTCAGTACCTGGCCCATGCTGTAGTTTGGCCTGGTGCCTGGACGATAGTGAGCCAAGTTTCCCAGAACTCATTTCCAACCTTGTTGACTAATCTTCCCAGATAATGCTCTTGTAAACTTGAGAGAGTTGAAGCCAAACTATGATCCAGAGACTCCAATCAGTTTATTTTCTAATGACAGCATTACTGTTTCTTTAAACAGCTATATTTTTCCTTGCTATCACATTTTGCAAAACTACTACATATGTGTGATGGTTAAAACTGAGTGTCAACTTGATTGGATTGAAGGACACAAAGTGTTAACCCTGGGTGGGTCTGTGAGGATGTTGCCAAAAGATACTAACGTTAGAGTCTGTGAACTGGGGAAGGCAGATCCACCCTTAATCTGGTGGGCGCAATCTAATCAGCTGCCAGAAAATAAAAAGCAGGCAGCAAAACGTGAAAAGGAGAGACTGGCTTAGCCTTAGCCTCCCAGCCTACATCTTTTTCCAGTGCTGCATGCTTCCTGCCCTGGAACACTGGCCTCCAAGTTCTTCAGTTTTGGGACTTGGACTGGCTTTCCTTGCTCCTCAGCTTGCAGACAACCTATTGTGGGATCTTGTTTTTTCTTTTTTTTTTTTTTCTGAGACAGAGTCTGGCTCTGTCGCCCAGGCTTGAGGGCAGTGGCGTGATCTTGGCTCACTGCAACCCTCCGCCTCCTGGGCTCTCCTGCCTCAGCCTTCTGAGTAGCTGAGATTACAGGCTTGTGCCACCATGCCCAGCCATTTTTGTATTTTTGGTAGGGATGAGGTTTCATGATGGTAGCCAGCCTCATCTCAAACTCCTGACCTCAAGTGATCTGCCTGCCTCAGCCTCCCATAGTGCTGGGATTACAGGCGTGAGCTACCATGCCCGGTAGTGTGGGACCTTCTGATTGTGTAAATTAAAACTTAATAAAGTCCCCTTTATGTATATAAACATTTACTATAAAGTATGCATTTTACATATATTTAATATTTATATATAATTAAAAGATACACTGTATATATAAAGTAGTAGGATATAAAGTGGATATATACTATTAGTTTATATGTAGTATATATTTTATGTATATACCCTGTTAGTTTAATACATAATATATAAAATACATACATCCTATTAGTTTATATATAGTATATACTATATGAATATTGTATATAGGATACATATATGTGTATATATACATATATACACACACACACACAAATATATATATTCTATTAGCTTTGTACCTCTAGAGAATCCTAATTCAGATTTTGGTACCAGGAGTGGGGTCCAGAGGAACAGAATATTAAGGATGGAGTTCTTTAATTGGTTTTGGGGTTTCTGGAGTTGGCTGCTTAATGTGATTAGACCCAAAAATGTTAAAAACTCTATTTCTAATAGTATAGAGAACACTGATAGTCCCTGGTGTGAACTGTTTATAGAGTTATGCAAAATAAATGCATTTGACACTCCTGATTCATAGCTTGTGAGAAGCTAGGAGTTTAGTGACTCTATACATAATACTTTGGACCATATGTGGAGAACCAAGGAACATAATGAAGCTGGTCAGTTGCTCCTAAGTGCAGTGGACAAGGAGATGAAAGAAAATGATGAACTCAGGGATTCTGTCTCTCAGCTTCAGAAGAAGATACTGAGGCTCAAAACTGCTAAGATTGCCCTGAATGAGAGTCTTATCTCCTGTAGAGAAAGAGCTGAAGTTGTGGAAAAACAGACATAAGCTCTTATCATGCAAGTGTCTGACCTGCAATGAAAGATACATGCACAGTCTTGCCAGGTGTCTACCGTTAAAGTGAGGGCATTGACTGGAAAAGAATGGGACCCTGAAACTTGGAATGGGAGTGCGTGGAAGGACCCAGATGAAGCTGGGGACACTGAGTCTGTAAATTCCGATGAAGCTTTTCTGCCAGAAAGAACAGCTTCCCCATTCCCAGTAGTGGCAACGTCCACTCCGTGATCCATGCTGCCATCAGTCTTTCCAACTTTGAGGAAATAAAGCCTGTGCTATGTGAGGCAACAGTGACGGCTTCCCCTGAGGCAGTTGCCAGGCAAGCCAATGTTGATTCTTCTCAGGAGCCACTCCAAACACCTCTCTTTGTTTCTGGACCTATAACTAAAGTACTGGTGGGCCCCTAGAGGTGAGGCTGAGAGTGTGACCTATGAGGACGTACGCTACACTCAAAAAGAACTGATTTGAGTTCTCTAATTCATATATACAGAAATCTGGAGAACAGGCATGGGGATGAATATTAAGGGTATGAGATTATGGTGGAAGGAACAAAGTTGGATCAGGCTGAATTTCTTGATTTGGGCCCACTAAGTAGGGACTCTGCATTTAAGGTTGCAGATCAGGGAGTTAAGAAAAGGTTCTAATAGGTTATTTGCTTGGTTGAAATAAGGATTAAAAGATGGCATACGGTGAGTGAGCTGGAAATGACTGATCTCTCTTGGTTAATGTAGAGGAAGGGATCCAAAGACTAAGGAGATTGGGATGGTAGGGTGAATCAGTCACTTTAGAGCTAGTCATCCCAGCTGGGAGGGTCCAGAAGATATACCTTTGACCAATGCCTTGATAAATAGATTTGTGAGGGCAGCACCTGTATCTTTGAAGAGCCCTCTAATTGCTCGACTCTGTAGGTCAGATCTAACAGTGGGAACCGCAGTCACTCAACTACAAAATTTAAACATAATGGAAATAATTGGCTCCCCAGGTGGCAGGGGCCAAGTGGCAGCACTCAACTGTCAAAGACAAGGTGGCTATAGCTACCATAATGGACAGCAGAGACAAAGTGGCAATCAGAAGAGTCTGACTTGGATAGAGCTCTGGCATTGGCTAATTCATCACAGTGTTCCTAGAGGTGAAACTGATAGGAAGCCTACTGCATTCCTGCTTAATTTATACAACCAGAAAGCTTCTAGGTCAAATGGACAAAAGACTAAATTGAATAATAAAAACAGAATGACGACCCCTCAATGAATTTCTAGACTTGAGCCAGTTTACAGATCAAGAACTCCTTGAATGAAGGGGAGGCCTGATGCCCTTGAGGAATGACCCCACTACATTCCCAACAATTTATGCAGTGAATCTTTCTCCCATCCTTCCCCAAGGAGATCACTGGCCTTTTACCAGGGTACCTGTGCACTAGGGAGAGGGAAATGATCAGACATTTCAGGCACTACTGGACAATGGTTCTGAGCATTGATTCCAGGGGACCCAAAGCATCATTGTGGTCCTCTAGTTAAAGTAAGGGCTTATGGAAGTCAGATAATTAATGGAGTTTTATCTCAGGTCTCACTTACAGTGGGTCCAGTGGGTCCCTGGATTCATCCTGTGGTCATTTCCCCAGTGCCAAAATGCATAATCGGCATCAACATACTTAGTAGCTGGCAGAACCACTACATTGGCTCCTTGACTGGTAGGGTGAGGGCAACTATGGTGGGAAAGGTCAACTGGAAGCCATTAGAGCTGCCTCTAAAAAACAGTAAATCAAAAACTATCCATCCCTGGAGGTACTGAGGAGATCAGTGCCACCATCAAGAACTTGAAAGATGCAGAGGTGGTGCTTGCCACCACGTCCCCATTCAATTCTCCCATTTGGCCTATGCAGAAGACAGATGGATCTTGAAGAACGGCAGTGGATTATCATAAGCTTAATCAAGTGGTGACTCTAATTGCAGTTACTATGTCAGATGCAGTTTCATTCCTTGAGAAAATTAACACATCTCCTAGTACCTGGAGTGCAGCCATTGACTTGGCAAATCCTTTTTCTCCATTTCTGTCCAAAGGACCACCAGAAGCAATTTGCCTTCAGTGGGCAAAGACGACAATATACCTTCACTGTCTTACCTCAGGGGTATATCAACTCTCCAGCTTTGTGTCATAATCTTATTCAGAGAGACCTTGATCAGTTTTTGCTCCTGCAAGATATCACACTGGTCCATTATATTGATGGCATTATTCTGATTGGATCAAGTGAGCAAGTAGCAGCAAAAACACTGAACTTATTGGTGAGACATTTGTGTGCCAGAGGATGGAAAATAAATCCGACTACATTCAGGGACCTTCTACCTCAGTAAAATTTCTAGGGGTCCAGTGATGTGGGGCCTGTCAACACATTCCTGTGAAGGCAAAGACTAGTTGCTGCAATTGGCCCTTCCTACAACCAAGAAACAAGCACAACGTCTAGTGGACCTATTTGGATTTTGGAGGCAACACATTCCTCATTTGGGCGTGTTACTCCAGCCCATTTATCGAGTGTACTGAAAGGCTGCCAGTTCTGAGTGCAATCTAGAACAGGAGAAGGCTCTGC